CTGTGGGGTGCGGGAGGGTGCGTGTGAGGCTTTGAACCCGGTTCTCTGCAGACCTGTTCTCCCTCCCCTCCGAGCTGCCCGGCCTCAGCGGGTGTGTGCTAGAGCCCGGCCCGTGTGTGGGGAGGGAAGGGGAAGCGAAGATGTCTGAGAAATGTCACTGCAGGCGGCGGTCCCGGTCCTGTCCCGTCCCGCGAAGGTGCTGCCTGCAGTGAGCTGCTCTTTCAGCAACAAAAAGACAGTTCTGTAACCAGAAATAACACCCTTGCAAAGTCCGCTGCTTCTGAACTTTGCCTGTCTAGTTTTGCTGTTAACAGAAGTTAGTTGAAACTCCTCTGCTTAAATAAAAGTGGCAGAAGTTAGTCAAAACTGCTTAAAAATGAGAATCATATTTATCTTCTTTTTTTTTTTTCCTCCCCAAACAGCTCAATGACACCTAGAAAGAAGTTACAAGGTCTTGTAGCTGCTACAATCACTCCAATGACTCCTGATGGGTGAGTATGACCCTGTATCACAACATGGCGTGTTGGCAGATTTGTGTGGGCTACTATTACCTTAAAACCTTGTCTCCTTTCTTACCTGATCAGTTTTAGTTTTGTTTTTAAACCAGGTCTCTGGTGGGATGGGGAAACTACTAGGTTGGTTCCACTAGCACTACACTGGGTTCCCTTCACCTCTGCATCCTCCTGTTAGGTTTGGAGAGTTTGAATCAGTCTTTAATCTCTTTTTCTATTGCTTTTATTTATGCTGCAAATTAAATCATAGTAAGCTGTTAAATCATAGTAAGGTATCCATAGAGTATTGTTTATATCCATCCCATTTGTTAAGGTAAATCACAGTTCCTTTAAAAAGAGCTCTTGAGAGCTGGAAAATAATTGTCAAAATCTGATGTCCTTTTAGACTTTTCTTTACCCTAGGTAACTTATGCAAGTATTCATGTGTATATATGTGTACATGGAATTAATCTAAACCAGAACAAAATATTGCAAGGACTGCACAGTTCCGAAAATAACATCAAATCGAAAGTTGAAATTCAGCCTTCCTCAAAGCCGTGATGGTAAACATATATCCTCCCTGCTGCATTTTGGTGTTGCAAGACCGAGTTGTTTGGAGTCAGCAAAGGACCCTGAGCTCTGATGGGCGTTGTGTCAAGATCCGTATGTGTTTCTGAGGGTGACAGTGGATTTGCTAGTACAGCCCTCTGAAAGTGATCCTTTACTTTTGAAAAGTGCTGTAAAGCACGGTGCTGTCTCAGTCAGGGAACTTATTTGCATTGCAGTCACTGCTTTGTTTCTTGCTTTAAAAGAAACTTTATTTCCGATTACATTTGTTATTACTACTCAAATTTATTGCATTGTGGTATTCAGAGAGTGATCTGGGCCTCCTGCCTGAATGCCTGACCCTTGTACGATATGTTCTCTGAAGGCAGGTATGAAATTTTGGGCGATGTGTGAACCCATTCAAGGTCCCAGAATTGATTTCTAGACTATAGGGTTGGTCTGTATGTTTGACAAATGAAAACAGCGGTGAAATATTATACACTGATAAATAAAACAAGTTTGTCCTGCAGAGAAGATAAACCTTGAATCCAGTTTCCCCTGTTTGTCTGGGAAGTCTGTTGCTTTGCTCATCCTTTAATGAAAGAGGGAGGTCAAAGTCACATCCAGCAGATGCCATTTCATGGTCTGTGTCCAGCAGTTACTAGTACAGTTTAACTGTTTGCCAGCACTTGCACAAATACCTTTGTGCTTTCAAGGGGACTGCGGTTTCCCTCAACAGTCAAAAAGGTTCAAGTGCCTCTTGTTCTCTTATGTGTCCCCCCCCAAAAAAATTTCTTTGCTGTGACAAGCCTGCAGTAATTACCAATTTGAATAAAACATTGGAACAGTGAACTACTTGTCAGGAGGAAGAGAAACTGGAAGAAAGAATCTAGAACTGAACTGTTACCTGAAATGTTAAACACATGCTGAGAGTATCATACCTTGGGGTAATTTGTGTGTGTGTACAAATGCAAAACTTGGAAAATACCTGTCTTTTTTTGTTTTCTTAATATCCAAGTTTAAGTTATATGAGTGGAGACATGGTTGCTGAGGGCTCCTAAGGTTGCTGTGGTTCTTTTCATTTCAGACAGATTAACCTTTCAGTGATTCCTCAGTACGTGGATTATCTGGTAAGCGAGCAGAACGTGAAGAACGTTTTTGGTAAGTGAATTTTTGACAGAAACTGTGTTACACCCCTCTTGCCTGGATGGCAGCCCTATGATATCTTGCCTGTTAAGAGCTGTAGTGAGAGGGACTGTGGATGTGGGATCATCCTAGACATTTATATTCACCGGTGGAGAGGGTGTAATTGATACTTAGGGCATCTGAGTTTGCCTACACTCCATTTCTGTGTGGGATAAAATAAGCATTGCCTTCATACAGTGACATTTCCAGAGATGAATGGATAATGCTGTCTTGGCAGAGAAGACTCAACTAAATGATTCTCCCCTTTGCCTGGACAAGATACAATCATATGATTAAAAAACATCAGCTCAGCAGTCCAGGGAATTCAGTGGGCTCATCAAAGCCAGATAAGCTTCTTAACGAGACCTGTGGTGCGATTGATGGTCACTGCCCAAATCTCTCCCTGTTCTGCCTCCCTCTTGGGAACTGCTGTGGGTGCAGCAGGGATGGCTGGATAGAGAATACAGAGTCTGCTAAACCACGTTCATTGACAGCCTGGCATAGTTCAGTAAGGTGAAGTCGGTGATAAGATTTTGGTTCAAAACTTACATGGAATTTTTTTGCCAAGACAAAAAGCAGAGCGTGGCAGTGACTTCAGCTATCCCAGTTTGATCTGTTGTTTGTGACTGGACATACTGACATCTCATTGTTTTCCAGAGGTGCTTTAGCCTAGATAGGACCCGTGGTTCCATTCACGATAGAGACCCCAAATTTCAGGTCAGGCTGTTTCCTCGGGCTGGAGGATAGGTAATCACTCCACCTGGCTAGCTGGGTGTCCCTTTGGGCACTTGCTGTAGCCTGACTCACTGGTGGGAGAGTGTCTGCTGGGGAGGAGGTGCTGAGGGACATTTCCCAGTTTCAGCAGCTGATTCTGCCTCCTCCCTCCCACCACTGCTGATCCTGAAACACACAGATTTCCAACACAAGCATTGAGTGCAATCCCCATGTAAGATGCTGGTGTGGAACCATTGCTATCTTAAAATGAGTTGGGGGAAAAATATTTCTGTTTAACATCATCAAAAGTGTCAGTTCTTGTCTTCACTAAAACCAGTGCACGTAGGCCAGGCCTCAGCAAGTGTGTTGTGTTGTGTTGAAACAGTGAACGGCACAACAGGCGAAGGACTGTCCCTTAACACCCAGGAGAGGAAGCAGTTGGCAGAAGAATGGGTGTGCCAAGGAAAAGACAAGTGAGTAGCTGAGAGGGAACAGGAAATTCCAGATACAGGAATGATATGGCATGATATGATGATATAGGCATGTCTGACTGCAAAGCCACATCTGCTGATGGGTTGGTGGGGTTTTTTTGTTGTTTTGGGTGGGGTTTTGAGGTTGTTTTTTTTTAGTATTTTGTTGTTGGGCTTTGTTCCCCAGCTCCTTTTTCTTAAGCCTGCATTTTTGTCACTGCAAGTTAGCTGGTGTCCCTTCCTGCTGCTAAGAGAGCTTGGAAGAGTCCTTTTCTTTGATACACTGAGGGGTAGGAGGACAAAAAAGGGCTCTGGGGCGAAAAAAAGGGCTGTGCCCTTTGCTTATTCCTGATAAGAAGTAAAAGTAAAGAGCAGTCTGCCTATTTATGCCCTGTGAGCATTTCTGAACCTTTTAATATATTAATTGAATTATTTGTTATGGGGGAAGATGAGGTGTAAAGGACTTAAGTGCTTCCTTAAAGATGCAAAGTTGGTGGCAGAAGAAGGAATTCAACCCAGATCTTCAGCTGTGGATGTAATTGCAGGTTCACTCTCTGCCTTTTTTACCTGTCAGTGTTGTGTCACTGCTGCTTCCTCCTTAGTTGCTATGTCAGAGGATATGGAGAGGAGGAGGTGTTTTGGGTGAGAAGGATAGTGAACAGAAATAAACTGGTGTGAAGGCTCACAGTCTGTGTGGATATAAAGGAGAAACACAGAAATGGGACTGACGGACTGGAACCTGTGAGATTCCCTTGGCAGGAGCAGACAAGCAGTCGAAGGTGCTGTTGTGAGGTTGAACTCTTCTGGTGGTTATGCAGAGAAACAGCTTTAGAGAGCAAAGATACACTTTCATATCCTTTCCTTTTCCCTAGCTTCCCCTTAAATCCTTAATGCCTTAATTTTAACTTCCTAATAAAATGCTGTGTTTTGTCCCTCCTGACAGCCTTGCGAATCTGACAGCAAGGAATCACGTATTATTCATATTTGCAAATATGTTTTCTTTTTTCCACCACCAGCTGCTTGCCACTCTCATCATTTTCCCTGTGTTATTTGCTTGTCAGGGCAATACAGGTTCAAATCCCTTTTAGGTCTAATCTAGCCCAGCAAAGGTCTTGTGCTGTGGTTCCCTGATCTGAAGCAATTCATTTTGGCAGACTGATATTTTTTCATCACCACTCAAACCTCCCTAAAGCTTCTGAATTTGTTCTTGTGCAGATTGGATCACGTCATCATTCATGTGGGAGCACTAAATCTGCCAGAGTCCCAAGAGCTGGTGCGTATATATGATACGATTCCTTTTCACCATGTGTGTCATACATTTAAAACAGAAGCAGATGAACCTTCAGGTTCTTCCTGTTCTCTCTTTTACAGGCGAGACACGCAGCAGCCATAGGTGCTAGTGCTATTGCTGTCATAGCCCCCTTCTTCTTCAAACCCACAAACAAAGGTGAGTGCATATCTAGTGACTGCCACACCTGCTGAGGTCCTTTTAGATTGCCCTCCAAACCTTTATCATAGGTAAAAGATGAATGCCATCTTCTTCCTTTGGAAAACATTCTGGTGATAATATTCACACAGCTCTCATATCTGCTGTCATGCAAAATCAAAACATAGAAGAAGCATTTTTTTAAAGGTGGGAGATACCAGAAGTCTCCCAATAAGAAGTGGGAAGGATGACTTTTGGGATATATTCTTGTAAAAAGAAGAGTTGCTTATGGAAAGAGTAGTTAACTAGTCTGTCTTCTGAATAGATAATATAGAGTTCACACTTGATCTGGGCCACACTAGGAAGCAGTTGGTTCCATGCTGACCCTTGCTGGACACTGACCAGATGGATTAACTGCTGATGCAGAGGCGTTACCTCTTGTTAGTGAGGTGATCAGGTTCTGTGCACCTAAGGTTACCTCAGAACTTACAAATCTGAGTGTTTTGCTTTTAGTATAATGAACATAATATAAAAGAAACACATGAAGTGGAGGTTTTGTAACAGAAATGTTAAAAGTTGCTTGCATTAATTATGAAGGGAAGTGTTCGTATGAAAGAAACGAGTGGATTGCCAGAATGGCTGATGTTGACAGCCAAGGACACAGTCAGTGGCAGTCAAACTGGTAAGTGCAGAGGAACAGCACAAAATCAGCAGAAGACCTTTGCTGACAGTAGCAGGATGGCAGCGAGGTTTCAGCACGCTGCTCTTCATGCTGTGCCCATGTGAACACTGCCTAAGATTTATGGAGGATGTGGTAAACAAGATTCTCATGAAGAGTGTAATCTGTAATAACTCTCTGATTCCTCAACCAGAAAATTAACTGTTTGAAAATCTGTTAATCACCTGCGAGCAGTACCCCAGGGAGTTGAATGTGAACTTGATGCCTTGTCCTCTGTGTTGCACACGAGTGATGCTGGTGAGATCACTTTGGCACGCAGGTCTTGTAGTTTGCATGTGTGAGAGCATGCATGCGTTCTATCTGTATCAGAATCTGTGTGAGTTACTGAAATGGGTTTGGTTTAAAATAAATACCACCTTTGTCTTACCCAAGGTCTTCTGCTGAGCTTTGTTACATGTGATTTTTATGATGTGTGCAGGTTTTTAGGTGGTTGGCTGTGTATGGTACGCAAGCTGTAGATGGTCTCTCCACAGACCCTGGCTGCTGAGAATCTGAACTGTCTTTCACAACAGATCGTTTCTGGCTTTTACAGGGGTACTTGCTTGTTCTCTTCCAGATGAGCTGGTTGCTTTCTTACAGAAGGTTGCATCTGAAGCCCCTGCGGTTCCATTTTATTACTATCACATTCCTCCTCTGACGGGCGTGAAGAGTAAGTACTGCTTAGTCAGTTCTTCCTGTGACTATGGGCTTACAGCAACCTGAGTCATCCTGGTGGCTGGTGTGATTAGTCTGCCAGCCTAAACCAGGTATGTGGCCCCTGCTTCTGTCCCATGCAAGCTGCAGTGGAAAGGATCCCTTCCAAAAATGGAATGGGAGTTCAAGACTAGAAAATAAGTCGAATTCCTCTTCACTGTGGAAAAGTCACAGTTTATGAGTACTGAACAACTGGGATGGAGGAGATGATGCAGACCATGGCTTTGCAATTAGTGTAGACCAGGACAGGTAATTAATTGCCTTGGATAGCCATCGTTGAATCCCAGATTTTTGCAAGATAGTTACCACCGTCTCTCTTTGTTTACACTGACTGTGTAGTCATGTTTGCTAGTAAATTACACGTGAAACCACAGTGCTTCTCAAGTCTTATTATTTAGCAGAGGAATGCGGAACAGAATACAGATCTTCAGTTACTTGCTCAGCAGGTTGTGTGGTGTTTCTGGATGTATGAATTTATATCTATTCCTAAACATGTTGCCGGTTCATTCCTAAACTTTCACTTATCCAAGGTTTTTCCCTTCTGATTCTGTAAAAGGAATGCTTCAAAGAGGGCAGAAAGATGTTTTTTTATAACTCTGGGAAATAATCCCACTGAAGTTGTCTTACTGGTTGTTTTAGAGCTATATAGTTTACTAGGCTTAGGCCAAAAGTGAACAACTTGGGAAATAGTAAGTCTCCCTCTTAGGGACAAGACAGGGGAATCTCCCAGAACAGGGTTGTGTTCCTTCATGTGAGACTTCTGTTCTGCACAGTTCGTGTTGAAGAGTTGCTGGATGGAATAAAAGAGCAGATCCCCACCTTCCAGGGTGTGAAGTTCAGCGACACGGACCTCTTGGACCTTGCACAGTGTATAAACAAGAATGAGAGAGAACAGTTTACATTTCTTTATGGGGTGGATGAGGTAAGACTCCTCTTAAAAATTATTTCTTCTCTGGCATTTTTTTGCTTCAGCCTTGGCGAAAAAAGTAACTGGACATTCAGTGCCACATAGTTTTGCTGCTCCCTTCTACCACCCTTTTTTTTTTTTCTTTATTTTGTTATGTGAAGTAAAAATGTTTTGCTTTTTTTTCTCCCCCCCCACCCCAAACTAGCAACTGTTGAGTGCACTGGCCATAGGGGCAGACGGAGCAGTTGGAAGGTCAGTATGGCTTGGACTCCTTCCTCTTGACACACACACCTTGTTGATGTATCTTCCATTATCTACACAGTATTTCTCTAACTCTCTTCTGTCACAGCGATGGATTTTACAGGGTAAAGCTGTGTGGTAGCAAGCAGACAGACAAGCTAGCTCCAGTGCTAGCCATAGGACAGTCGTATAACCTGGGATTTAGTGTGGGTGATTATTGCTGCAGTCTGTAGCTGACCCAAAAGTTTCAACATAGTTCTTTATCCTCACAGCAAGTTTTTGAAGTCAGGAATTCCTTTTATCTTGGTAAGGAACCAAAACCCAAAGAGGTTAAAATAATTTACCTCAGTTCGCATGAGAAGTCTGTGAGGAAAAGGACCCTGCTGAGTTTTGTTTCTGATTTCTCTTCTGCCCCTCAAACCAGGCTGCTTAGATGGATTAATGTAGGATATCTGTGTTCTTGAGTGGACGATGAATTAAATGAACGAGCAACTGGAAAATTAAGTGATTGACTTTCTGTATTGTCTAATTGTTTCTTTTTAATTTTGAAAAGCAGTTCCATTTGGAAGGAACTGGGAAATCTACTTTCTTAACTCTTCCATAGAGCTTGGCATACTTCAGATGCTTGACAGTATAAACCACACATAGATTGCATGAATCTCTCCCATAAGAATGGCACTTACAACGTCAACAGAGAAAGCCTATGGCTACATCTTTTGTTTCAGTGGTTCTAAGTTCCCCCTTTGCATTTATTGATTCTATTTTTGGTTTGGTTTCTTTTGACAGTACATACAACTATTTGGGTCGAAAAACCAATCTGATGTTGGAAGCCTTTGCAAAGCCAGACCTCGCGTTAGCACGGAAGTATCAGGTACAATATCTTTACTGTCCCCCCTAGGAGCAGCCTTCTTTCTCCTCTAGCTTTACCGGGGCTGTTTTCCATGTAGTTTTGTCATCCTGAGCCTGAGATAGCTTTGTTAAAGCAAACTTCTTCCAGCTCCAACCCCCCTGCTTGTTATTTATCTCTCCTCGCCTTTTTGACCAGTCCTTACTAACTTTTAACCAAGACTTGCCTTTCTGATCCTTTAACCCTCTAATCTCATCTCTGCAGAGCGAGCAATGGCCTGGCCTTTCTCCTTGAACGAGCCCCTTGACTAGGAATATTCTGGGGATATCTTACATGATGTAGGGCAGAAAGCTGTCCCAAGGCAGCTCTGCCTTGACCCCTCTTGGTCTTGGGCAGCTTGAAAGTTTGTGAGGAGTCCTGAGCAATCCTTTTAGAATCTATACCCAGTGTTTTTATGGGATGTTTGAGGCATCCTTCTTTTGCCTTAAAATAGAAGTGACTGCAGGATGAAAGTCTAAAAGATGTCTGAAAGATGACCTGCTCTGGGAGATGTATTCACTAGGCAGTGGATACTCAGATTTGTAAACCTTTAGAGCCAATAAACCTTAGAGCCAGGAGACTTACCAGTGTTCTGGGACTGCTTGCAGTGAGGGACAGCTTGAACATGAGTGACAGACTGAGAGGGACTGATGGTTTTCTTATATCCATCCCTCTCTCCCCTATTCCAGTCAAATTCAATTAGTATTTCCCATAGACTGGCCAAGTGGGCAAAGGCTTTTCTCAAAGCTGGGCAACAATTGTGTAAGATGTAAATATTGTAATACCTTTAGATGCTTTTACGTCTTAAAATTTGAAGAAGTTAATAAACTACTGTCTTGTCTTTTCTAGTTTCTCACTGGGGAATTTCTCAACTTTGTCATCAAACTAGGTAAGTCCTACACTGCCCGTTTCCTTTCTTACATCTAAAAATGCAGACTCGGTGCTCCAGAAGCTCTCATGTTGCTGTACCCCCAGAACTTCCTTCCTGAAAGATTTTGCAGTGCATTTTGCAGAAAATGGTGCACGTGCTGTCTCCCGAGTTAGTAATCAGCTGGGAGCTCAACAAAGGGAGCTGACCAAGCATCCCTGACACATTCCACTCTCACTTCCTTCCTCTTATGAAATCTCACAGCTGGGAAGTGGTGACTCTGTGATTGACCCTTTTTCTTATCCTCACTCTTTCTTTGGGTTGTTTTGGGGTTTTTTTCTCTCTCCAAAAGCTCATTTCTAGCTTTGTTTCTAGAGTTGTTATTCTGAAATGTTGGTGCTCCAGTAGCAAAACAACTCTGAAGCTTCTTTCCTGCCTTGCTATAATTTAAGAGTAACTCGGTTCAAGGCTGTACAAGGCCAAATCATTTTAAAACTGAATGATTTTTAGAAACAAAACCAAGTTTTACTATAAAAAGCAATTAAACCCAACCAAGTCAGAGTAGTGTTGGGAGACCAAATCAGATATATTTCACGGTTTTCACTTAATGAAGAGAGCTGTTCATTGTGGTTTTGCTGTACATATGCAAACCCTAATGAATCTTGCTGAGCTTTAGTGCTTGGTTGTATTTCTTGGATTAAAAGTCAGAGGAAATGAATCACTATTTAACTTTATAAGTAAAGAGGGAAACATTGAATTTCCAGAGGTATGTAAGGAGACTTGAGCTGTGGACAGAGAGGCCTCCTGAGGTTTTCTGTGGTGGTTTAAGCTGATACCAAATGTCATTGTCACATGTCAGCAGGGTCTTACTACTCCCAGGGCTTCACTTTGTGTGAGTCTGCGCTGGGGAGTAGCTGTGAGGCTGCAGAGATCAGGTTGCTGGGATGACAGATTGGCTGGGATAGCTCAACCTACCAGTGGATGTACGTTTGCAGTGGCCTGATTTTTGCTTGTGTTACCTGTGGTGGACTCACACCATCTTTTCTATTGTCCAGGCTGCGTGGCAATACATTTGGCAAAGAGAAAGGAACACACACACAGCCCTGGTTATCTGTACAACTGACACACAGTAGTTTGTGAAGTGCATGTCTAAGAAAATGTTCTGCTTGGTATCTTTAAGAGGGAAACAATAATGGTATAATAGATAAATAAATGCCATAAGTAGGTGTAGTAATTTTTACTGTAACATCTTTCATCTCTGCAAGTATGATCATCTCTTCTTAGTTACACTGTTCTCACTTCTGAGAAGTGCTTCAAGCCTGGTTTATGCCAGATGACACAGGAATTCCATGCTGATGTTTTCATGGACACCTGTATAGAGACTGCTTTAAACAAAATGAGCTGTAAATGACCTGGTTTTGCTTTTGTCCACCCAGGTTTTGGTGTTGCACAGACTAAAGCTGTAATGACTTTTGTTTCTGGCATTCCCATGGGACCTCCACGGCTTCCACTTGTTGATGCCTCCGAGGAATTCATCGTCAAGGCCAAAACCAAGCTGGATAGCATTGTGTGGCCTGATGATGACTGTTGTTCACTTCCGTGTTGATCTGGAAGTGGAGGCTCTTTTTCTGGGATTTACTGTTGTGTGGCTCATTCCCCATGTGATGGGCTGTGGTTTCTTTCAGGGAACTAACTGGCAGTGTGCCTGAGCCCTTTCCTGTCAGGACTGGCCTTGTTGGTGCACGTGTAGGCACCTTTTTTGTAACTGTCCTCCGCTCCCCTGGAGCGCTGCACATCCCAGGACTAGCTGGTATCTGTGAATAAAAAACCCCCAAATTTTCCCCAGTTGGAGGATCCTCACTCCTTTTGTTTAGAAAAGAGGAATATCTGTCTCTATTCTCCCTCCAGCTAGATGATGTTTTGTCCTCTCCCTTTGTAAGTATCTCCAGCACTACAGTGTGTTTTTTAAACATTGGTATGACAATGATACAACCTGCTTGCTCAGGCTGGTATTTTATTGTTTGTCACCAAGTCATAGGGACACTGACTATGCATACAAAATCCTGGTTTTTATCTGATCTCATTGTCTTTGTACACCTTCCCTTAATGCAAAATTTAAAAAAAAAAACTTTTGCAGCGAAAGCTTTTGGCTCTCTAATGAGCAGATATTTCTTTTTTTCTTTCTCTCTTGCAACAAAGTGAAGGCAGAAGTGAGCTGCACCGCTTTATATTGCAGTGCAGAATAACTGCCTTACATGTTAGAAAGTCATCTGCTGTCAGATTGAAAGGAGCAGCCTGGATTTATCCCTCTCCAGCATCTTGAGCTCTTATGTCTGATGGTTATGTGTAGCTGACAAATGTGAGGTCCTGTCCCCTCTACAGCTTAATTTCCTGACTGGGCAAAAATGATGGCAGGGGATGTCTGGAAGGGGGAAAGAGAAAGGGGGAAACGTGGAGAGGCACCTTGCTACCTTCTCATAACACAAGAGTGTGGTATTCTGCTGACTTCTCTCGCTGTGTAACCACTGAACAATAAACACCCAGCAGTAAAGGCTTCCTCGCCCCCTTGAATGTGTGAGGCATTGGGGGAGCTCTGCTTTGACAGGTAAGGGGAGGCGGCTGTGATGGGCGCGGGGTGCCCGGTGTGTGCAGAGGTTCTCCCTGCACCAGCCCTGGGACAGGCACCGCCGTGGCCTCGGAGCCCCGTGTCCTTCCAGGGCCGGGGAATGGCTTTGCTGGGCGCTTCTAGAGCTGGGTCTGAGGCTGTCCCGGGAGCGCCGTGGCTCGCACCGGGAGGTGCCCTGAGCA